AATCTTTCACACAGACCCACAAAGCAAAAAAAAAAAAAAAAAAAAAAAAGCAAACCACCACCACACCACATTACCTAGCTCTGGTGCCCTGACTCTGCAGAGCTGGGTGATCGGATGTCAAGCTCCTCTAAGAGCACTATCTTTATTTTTCCAGCGGATGCAACTAATTCTTGGTCACGTTCACTCTATCACCATTCCAGGGAAGAAAATAGCAAGAAAGCAAATTTATTTTTGTACCTAAGAGAAAAATACCCTCTCCTCTTTTGTTGAAGAAAGCCTGCCTAGGTTGGAGCTCCTGACTCACAACAGAGCAGTAGTCACACTGGGAATAAACAATGAGGTTAACATCTCTTTCTCTTCCCAGAGACTCATTTACCTTATACAGCGTGTTTCGAATGATTTCGATGTTCATTTCATCCAGGTCCTGCTCAGATATGCAGTCTTGGAAGAAAGCAGCTGAAACAGAGCCACAGACAGAGTTAGCATTGCCCTAACCAGACCCATGCCCAGCACTTTCCCAAGTCCACAACAATACCAGGCAGAAGCACACCCTATGCTGAGCTTGTCCCTCCTAGGCCTGGCCCTTCTCTTCAGCAGCCACCAAATTGCCATGGCTCAAACCTCAGGCTCCACCATGGTTCCCCAGGCCACAGTCATTTTTGGGGCTCTCACACCAGCCTATTCTCAGCAGAAATTCTCAGCTCTAGCCCCCAGCATCAGTGCCAGAGCACCCTGTATTTAAAAACAAGCAAAACCCAAACTGTTCCCAGATGCAGGCACTCAGGGGTGACAAGACAGCTTCTGAAATGCCTGCTACAGCACTGCAGCAGTGCTTATGGATCCACGAGACAGCAGCTAGCGGGCACTGAGGAAACAGGTGCTGTGCTGCTCCCTCATCCTCCAATATCTTAACTAGATTAAGGAGGGCTGGGGATGCCACAGCTCCTACAGCCTGTGACACTCTATGGTTGGGGTCAGCAGCCATTTCCCCGGCCAGATCTATCAGTTCCATTTTCCACTTCTTCCAAGGCTTTTTACTTCTCCAGCTGGAGGAGACAGGATGAACTAGTCCATTTTGGTAGGAAGCTCAGCCTTACATACTAGAGTGTCTTTGGGAAGGAGGCTGAGAAGTTGTTGCCACCTAAAGAACACAGATGGGTTTCACACCTAACACACAGTACTGCGTGCTGCAGGTAAAGACGAGTCTTCTACATCTAGTGCAACACACGGCTGTTGTACCTCTCGCTTGTTAACAAGAGCACAGCAAAACCCATTGACAGGACTTTTATGACTTCTTCAACTCTCACTCAGCAACTGATTTTGCTGAATTTGCTACAAAGAGAAATATGATCTTTCTCAGCTTACACAGTCCAGCTGTGGGTAAGGCACACTGCACTCACGCTGAGAAATGACTGGTGCTCTGTTGTGTGCAACAAACCAGGTACAATACAGGCTCACACCTCTTGGTGTGCACTACTGTCACACTGTGAGCTGCCTGGCATGGACAGCAGCCACACCATGGGTCTAGAGAGTCCTGAACAGAGGTTAACCGTCGCAGAGGTTTCTTTGCAACAGCATCAGAGACCAATGCCACGTAGCTGGAGGAGCACTGCTCCCTTCGGTTGGCAAAAATGAAAACAGAGTGTGCCAGGACTGGTTTTCACTGCAGGACTCACTGGCTAGCCTGGATAGCTAAGCAGTGGCTACTTCAGAGTAGCAGAGGAATGAGAACACAGCTATTTCAGTTCTTGGCCCTCCAATATCCCAAATTAGGCTAACAGCAAGTCTTATTTTGCCCTGCTAACCTATGAAAGCCATTTGGGGTTAGGCATTCCTACCAAGCCACGTAGCTACTCAATTACTTTTAGGAGATAGAGCTGCTGTTTCTTTGCGTGTGGTCACTGGAAGAAGTGCAAGTTAAACAACTGGAGCCTGCATGCCCGCTTGTCAAGGGCATGGCCAGGGCAAAGGTCTAAAGAACTCAGCCTAGCCAGGGCAGACGCAGGCAAAGCTCACTCATACACAAGTGCACGATCACAAGAGGCAGAGACCCTCAACTGGCAGCCTCATTCTCCAGAACGACCTCACCCGTGTAACTGGGCATTTTCACTCCATACACAGCTGGAAGTTTTAAGGTCTCCATGAGCTAATATCTTTTAAATACTCAGCTCTACCTTATTCCCAAAATCGCAAGGTTCCTGCTTACTTGCGAAGCGGATTTTCTTCCCGCCCATCACCCTTACAGCAGGCTCAACTCAGCCGCACGCAGACCCTTAGCCCTCCCGCTGCGTTGCCCTACCTTGCAACCCAACTCTCTCGAGACACGTTTCCCCTCCTTTGCTGGGCTCTATCTGGCAAGTCATTTTTTCCGTGACAGCTACTTCACTTGCCCCATTATTACACAGAGCATTTGCAAAAGCACTTACAGTTCCAAAAACAACTATTTCTATCAAAGACAATATGATGACTTAGAGTCTTTTGTTCTTTCTAGCAACCCCAAAAGAATGATTAATCACTGACTCAGGCGTACCTCATTACGTTTTTGCCCATGGAGGCTAAACTAGTAAGTCTCCTGTGACTATCTCTCCTACTACCGCAAAAAGACTTCCATATTTTCTCCAGAAACACTTTCTACACCTTTTATCTTTAAAGAACATATCTGTTGAACTAGCTGTTCACCAGACACTTGGTTTTAGCACTATGTACCTCCTGGCCAAGGCCTGTAGCCCTGAGACGGTGCACCTCAGTGCAAGATCCTGCCATACAATGACCTTAAAAAGGCTTTTGGAGATTTCTTTTTTTTTTTCTCTCCCGTTGTTTAGGGAGTTATTGTATATAAAGAGCTTTCCTTGATCTAGAGCTAATTTTATCAGTCTCAGAACAAGACTGGGCATGTGCAGATCTCTGACTATCTACAAAAATTGCCTGGCACAGAACAAGCACAAACCTGAACTCAAGCCCAGCCACCACAGACAGTACTGCCATGTCTGTGCATTACCCACCACTTTGTCCGCCTGGAGCACAACTTTAGACTTAGTTAGACCTAGATAGACTTGGGGGAGCAAGGGGCATCTGCTCCACACACAGCTGAGAGGTATTTTGAAAGGCTTCGCTCACCCAGGGGAGTGTCCACCAAGATTGCATTGTAGAGCTCCGCAGGCGTCTGAGCAATGTTCACAGCTTCCATCTGCTCGAAACTTCCCAGAGGATGGCACTTGGGCACCAGTTCAGAGATTGAACGCTGGTGCAGAGTCCCAGTGATGAGCAGAATGACATTGTCAATCATGTAGCTGTACCTGGAGGAATGCAAAAGGAAGCATGTCACCACACAAGTAATACAAAACCCAGCGCCTGGCACACCTCTTCAGTCCCTGTGAGCGTCTCCACAAAGATGTACCCTTTCCACAAGGAAGTAGTAAGGGGCCTTCTTAATGTCTCCTTATCGTGACAGCCTAAGAAAAGGGAGTCAAGCATAGTCCCAGGCTGTGATTTATGCTACAGCTGAACCACAACATCTGGGCATCTCCTACCTACCACTGAAGAGTGTTAGATTGCAAGAGACTTCTGGAGGTCTCTGGCCCAAAGTCCTGCTCTAAACATGGCCAGCTCCAGCTGCTCAGGGCTCTGTCCAGCTGAACTCTGAGTTACTTGCAAGGATGTGTATGTCCCAGTCTCCCTGGGGCTCTGCTTCAGTGTCTGACCACACTCACAATGAAAAGTCTTTTCCTAAAAGCTAATCAGTCTTTCATCCAAACCTCACACAGCTCCGAGAGGAACCTGGCTCCAGCTTCCCCACACCCTCCCACTAGATAGCTGGAAACATTTGTCCTTCCAGCATTCCCACTGCTCTCCTTGCATTGCCATGCTCTGTAAAGAGTACATGCAAAAGCGCGAGGGGTAGGACACCAGCAAAGAGGCATCTGCAGAGCCTGACTCAAACTCCGCCTCATTGCCAGCAGCACCGCTCCACCTTGCCAAGACTATGGAGAAAGGGTCATGCTTCTGCAGCCCCACTCCCTTCCAAAAACAACAGGGCTGGCAGCTTTGGCACAACCTTCATTCACACCCTCACAAAAATACACACAAGCTTTTTCACACCTCTGCCATCAACAGGTACATGCTTTTTCACATTAACCCACATTATGATGTCCCTAACCAAGTTCTCTGCTTACACTATACAGGATTAGCAGATTCAGTCTTTGGCACAGCAGTAATGACACATTCAATCTGGAACCACAGCACTCAGCACAAGGTCCACCAACACGAGCCCTTTGTGGCCCTTCTCTCCAGTATGTCCCTGTTCCTCTGGCACTGAGGAGCCCAGAACTGGGCACAGCACTCCAGATGATGCCTCCACCAGTGCCGAGCAGAAGGGAAAGATCACCTCCCAATTTTCCCAGTCCATCCAGAGAAGGGAGATACAGCTGGCCTGAACACTGGGAATACAAGTCAGGCTGGTGGCCTTCTCCAAGCAGAAGGTCCAAGCAAGGAATCAAGGCATCATGGAAATACAAGGAGCTGAGAGGAACAGTGTCCCTCTAGGCACTTTCACCACCAGCTGAGCCATAAGCTCACCAAGCTGAGAACCTGAAAAACATCAAGTGAGACGAGGTGGTTTTTTTTCAGTCACCAGAAGGTACCTTTGAAAATGCCCAGGGAAGAGGCACAGATGGTGGAAGAACAGGATATTTGGGATTTTACACTCCCTTGTTCTCGCTGCTAGAGCTCTAACTCTAAAAAGTTAGATGATGGAAAAGACGTGAAGATGCTCCTTAGCAGGAGCTGCTCCAAAACAAACAGGCTCAGGCCTGAACTAGAGCTGCAGAAGGAGCTGTGCACGTCTGGAGTTGGAGCTCTGTTGAGGTTCACGCTTCCCACATGTACCTGAGTAGTGAGGAAAGGGAACTTCAGGCCAGCACATCAGGACTGGGGCAAAGGCAGGGACGGTAAGGCTCTGCACACATTTGTCAGGCATTGGGATGCTGTTGGTCTTTATATTTCCGAGCTGACAAGGAGGACATAGTGCAACCCCACTTCCCATTGAACCACATCAAAGGCAGGTAAGCAGACCAATTAAAGGCAGTTTTCGGCAGTTTTTATTAGATGAGCTTAGTGCCTCTCAAATATGCTCAAAGGGCACATCCACAAGCAAACCCACACCTTAGTTCCTCAAACAGGTGCTGCCTTTTTCTCTCCACACTGCAGGGCTAGGCAACGCACCTCCTGGCCCCACCATTTTTGCAGAGAGCCTTACTGTGTTTGCAGCCTACCCTTCCAGGGACGTTCAATCTAGAACCATGGTAATCAGCACAAGCTTCATGTACTACCAAACCTCCTTTTGCCCTTTAATCTGCAAGGTCATTATCCAGCCTTCTGTTTGTGCAGCTCTCACCGTGGAGATGACTACAATCTCCAGGACAGCAAGAAGGGCTTGTTTCTGAGAGCTGAGGGTAAGTGCCCTGCAGTAAGCAGCTGGTTGCTGGTAAATACAAGCATCTGCACCCTAACTCTGATGCATCTCCATGAGGTGTGCCAGACCAAGGATACAGTGAACCATTTCCCAGCTCCACCATCTGCCCTCAGACACACAGGTTTGCTTAGTGCCACACAGTAGCTTTCAGGAAAGACTATGCACAGAACTACTCTCACGAAAGCAAGGCAACAACATAGGACTAGACCAAATTTGTTTCTTCAACTCAGCCTACGCTAAAGGAACAGGCAAGGAAACATGGTCATTGCACAGTATGCTAGCAAACCTCTTTCTTCTTCCCAGCTTACCACAGTTCTTGCTCTCTGCAAGATATTTGCAACTTGCAAGCAGCCTGGCCAAAGTCAACCATACAGGAGCAACTGAGGGAAAACACCTGGAGCCCCTCCTGTTTGCATGTCTTCAGAGCAGCTTAGCTCCCGGCTTACTGGAGTCACACCGAGCTCATCCACGCCCTTCCAGTCCAGCTCAGCACAAAGGCCACAGCCAGGTTTGAGGAGAGCAGCCCAAGCCTGATCCTCTTCATGCATGAGAAGCTCCTGCTTTCTTGACTGATGGTCCCAGAAAAGACAACCCAGCTGGCTTCCGCTGCCAAGAGTGCAAAGCATGGCTCTCCCCATGTCATTTATAGCCCTTAACTTGCTTTTTTCCTCATCCTTTGGTGCAATCTGGGGAAATGCACAGTCTATAGACCAAACGCCAAAACCTCTAATGAGGCCCAGTGCCAACTTTTTGAAAGAATACTTTACCTGTCAAGACTACATAAATCTTGCTGTCAGAGAAGGCTTCATCACTGCAAGAGGAGGAGTTACCATGGGCAAGACAGAGGGGAAACTTCTCAATCAAGTTTCCACTGTGACAGCATTTCAAGCTTTCACGATAACAAGAGAGCTGCAGCAGGACAAAGGTCTTCTCGTGCCTGCCAAGGCCAGGCAGGCAACAGCACCACTCCTAACCCTTGCTGATAGTTCCAGTTTCCTTCAAGCAAGCCCAGACCATGCTTATTCACATTCAGTTCCTGCTTCATCCCAGTAAAAACAGTCATTGCTCAGCCAGTCATGACTACAAGGCAAGTCTCCCAGTGCAGGGCAGCTGGAAAAGCCTCTTCTCATCTCTGGAAGGGGCAACACTTGCCATCCCTGTGCCAGGTCCCAGCAAGAACGCATCTGCCTCCATTAGCACAGCTGTACTAAGACCATAGCAGAGGTCCTGGCTACACCAGCATTTCCTCCCAAGCCCAAAGGATTAGATTTATCACGGTGGCAGAAGTTTTCCTAGGAACCTCCAACTACTTGTTTAATACAGTGGCTTTTGTCGTCATCTTCCCTGTCTCCTATTAGGTTCTGACCAGCTTCACGTGTTTCAGCTTTCACGGTTAATGCATGCTCAGACTCCTCCGAGACCACTTTAACGTTCACTAGCTCTCAGTGCAGCTAATAAGAGCACCAGACTGGGACACATTGGAAAATATGAGTAGTTGGTCACTTGCAACACCATGAATTCTTACTGCAGCCCACTTGGCATGGAATAGAGATTAGGACATGGGATGGCCTGGTGGGAGACTCAGGACAGGTAGCAGGACCAACAAGCTCCTTGGAGAGGACGAGCCTCTGCACTAGCTCGCTGGGAACACTCGGTAGGAGTTCAGAGGAGAGAGCACTACATGGACACTCCACATAAGCTACAGCCAGTGACACGGGGTGGCAGGGCTCCAGTTAAGTGCTAAAATGGCACCTCATCTCAAGCCCCGAACCTTGCCTCCACAAAGACCATAGCAAGATTCCCTCAGGCAAGAATGTGTTTTGCACTCCTGCTTAGAGCTGCTCTATGCCCACACAGGGAGATGGACACAAAAAAAGCGTATGTTCAGCTGGAGTTTCATGTGCACAGTTACGCCCTGCCTTGCTCTTCCTGTCACCCACTGAACTGAGGTGTGGTATATTCCAGAAATTCACATTCACAGAAACACAATTTTAGTTGATACTGAGAAGCGGCAGTAACATCTCACACAAGAGCAGAATTTCTTATTAAAGGACAGGAAGAGTCAGCATCTTCAGCACAGAAGCATCATCCACAGCAGAAGAGAGATGATAGTTTATGGCTTCCTGAAGCCCATGACAACCGGGGCCAGAAACTTCAGCCCTCTAGCAACACCCAGTTCAGCACAATATGCACTGGGTAACACATGCATAAAGAGAACAAAGCCAGGCCTAGAGAAGCCAAAATATGGGGGGGAATGTTCCTTCCAGCAGCAGCAGGTCAGAGAGGTCATTCTTACTGCTGGTTTTGGGAGGTATGGTCTCAGACAGGCACAGCAGAGTCCTCTCTGAGAAAACAGAGGTGAGCCAGGCGGCAGAAGATAAGCCCTGGGAGAACCATCTGTGGATAGCTATCAAGCAGAATCAAGCAGGAGTAGAGCACACACCCAAAAGCCACATACAAGTACTCTGACAATGTAGGTTTTCCTCCTTTTGTGGTTACTTAAGTACAGCCACTAACAAATGAGACATGCAAGCAAGATTGCAATGGCCTGCGGAACACTGGGAAAGGCTTCTTAGCAGGTGAGCACGTGAAATGCATGAAAGCTCATTACATGGAGTGTTTATAACTTGGCCTAAAGGCACTTGGGCATAGCCCTGCAAGGCAGCGACCCCAAAACAGTTAGGGCTTCTTCCTCCTCCACTTACTAATCTAATCTAATCATAAAGAGTATTGTCCCGAGGCAGATAGGTTGGCTTTTTATTGCTTTCTACTCCAGTATATTAAAGAAACCATAAACAATACTGCAAGTGGTCACAAAGCATGACT